GGCAGAGGTTTTCCTGAGGAGACTTCTGAGAGGCCGTGGTTTTCCTATCTTCTCCTGCTCTTCCCTCTGTGCGCCAATCGTCGTCTGCTCTGTGCTTGCATGTGTGACGCCTTTCTCAGTGTTCACGGTCACGTTCGTAACCACCTCCCTGGTACCCCAGAGCAGGCTTTCGAAGCTAGGCTCCGATCACAGGCTCGGCGGCATAGGGCTGTTGCGAAGGCCTGGAACGAAATGGGGATCGAACTCTATGGGTGAACTCTGGGGGAAAAAATCATCATCATCATCATCATCATAATCATCATCATCATCATCATCACCATCATCATCGTCATTGTCATCGTCATCCTCATCATCGTCATCTTTATCATCGTCGTCGTCATCATCATCGCCCATCCCTCTTCTCATCCTCCACCTCCCCCTCCTCCTCCTCCTCCTCCTCCTCCTCCTCCTCCTCCCCGTCCCTCTTCCCTCCTCCTGCCTGTCCGAGCAGGAGGAGGAGGAGCGAGACGTGATGATGATGATGATGATGATGATGATGACGATCACGATGACGATGACGATGACGATGACGATGACGATGATGAGGAGGAGGAGGAGGAGGAGGAGGAGGAGGAGGGGGAGGGGGAGGTTGGAGGAGTTGTAACATGCGAAGAGAGGACCGGGGGGGCGGGGGGGGGGGGGAAAGGGGAGGTGGAATGAGAAGAGGCGGATGGTGAAGAGGCTGATGAGGAAAAGGAGATGAAGGAGGAGGGCGATACTCGTCATCCTCATCATCATCACCATCATCATCAGCATGATCGTCATCATCACAACCACCAGGAACAACATCATCACCATCACCACTAGCATCATGCATCATGCATCATTCTCATCATCAGCATCATCACCATCACCAGGCATCAACACCACCATCAGCATCACCATCAATATCATCAGCATCATCAGCATCATCCACAACAACAGCATCGTCGTCATCGTCATCAGCACCATCAGCATCAGGATCACCACCATCGGCATCGTCATACTCACTATCATCATCATAAGCATCATCAGCATCGTCATCCTCGTCATCATCAGCATCTTCATCAGCATCCTCGTCACCAGCATCATGATCACCGTCATCGTCGCCATCAACATAATCATCAGCATCATCACCTCCATCATCATCACCGTCATCAGCATCATCGTCATCAGTATCAACATCAGCATTATCATCATCGTCATCACCATCATCGTCATCACCATCACCACCACCATCATCATCATCACCATCATCATCAGTATCATCATCGTAATCACCAGGATCAGTATCAGCTTCATCGTCATCCCCATCATCCCCATTATCCTTGTTCTGCTGCTCCTCAAGGTGTGTCTCGCCGATCATGCTGCGCCCCTCCCGTTCCTCCCGCTGAGGCTGCTGCTGCTGTTCCTCCTAAACCTCATCCTCTTCATCCTCATCCTCGCGCACCCTCTTTTCCTGCCTCTCTCCTCCTTACCTTCCTCCTCTTCCTCTTCCTCTTCGCATGTCCTTCTCCTCATCGTCTCACGTATCCCCCTCCGAGGAGGAACTGGAAGAACGCGAACAGCAGGAGGAGTCAGCGCAACACAGGAAGAGTGAGGAGGAGGAGGAGGAGGAGGAGGAGGCGCGGCCAAGCGCTCCGAGAGCTCTGGGGGCCCCTCGAACTTAGGACCCCCAGAGCCGCAGAAGGAGGAGGAGGCGGAGGAGGGGGAGGAGGAGGAGGAGGAGGATGAGAATGGCGAGGAGGACAACGAGAGAGGATGGCGGACGAGAAGGAGGAAGAGGAGGAGAAGGCCCATGTAGGAGTGAATTCAGGAGGAGGACGAGGATGAGAAGGAGGGGGGAGTAGGAGGAGGGGGAGAGAGGGACGACGAGTGAGGAGGATGAAGAGTAACAACCATGCATGAGGAACATGGATGAAGAGGCGGAGGCAGGAGGAGGTGGATGAGGGGTAGGAGGAGGATGAGGAGGAGGAACATGAGGGGGAGGAACAGGAGGAGGAGGATGCGGAGGAGGCGGAGGAGGAATGAGGAGTGGTAATGAAGCGAAATAATGATGCTGATGCTGCTGATGATGACGATGACGATCACGATAATCATGATGATAGAGCGGGGGAGGAAGAGGAGGAGGATGGAGAAGAGGAAAATGGGGGAAGTCAGGGGGAGGGCGACGAGGAGGATTGGTGGAAGACGAGAGGGAGCAGGATGAATAAGGATATGTAATAGGTGCAGTCGTAATGAAGATACATGTGGCAAAGACGAACAGGATAGGTTTGAAGGTAAGCACGATTCAATGTTATATGTATGATCTCGGAGGGGGCATTCACCATGAATTTGTACAAAGCATGTACCAGGGATTTACTTGTCTGTTGTCGATTGTTCCTCCTGTCTCTTCCCTTCTCCTCCTTCCCGTCCCTATCCCTCCTATTCCATTATCCATTCCATGCCCCTCTTCCACCATCCTTCCTCCGGCTGTTCCCCCTTCTGCCCCTCCGTCCTTATCATTCCTTGCTCTTCCTCCATCCTCATTCCACTGTCCTGCTCCTCGTGCTCCCCGTCCGCCTCGCCCAAACTATCCCCGTCACCACCACCATTACAAGCACCACATAGGGCGGGCGTGAGTGTGATTTGGCCTCTGCCGCCGCGCTGGCCCCTAGCACCGTGGCCACTCGCCCGCTGCACGGTGCGATGTCGCCCGCCCGTTGCACTGTTCGTGGCCGCCTGCCCGCTGCACAGTTTCGACGCACGCGCGCACGGCCGTGTCGTGGCCCGCCATGCGGGCCGCTCGTCCGCGCGCGACGGCCCAGGGAGACGATGGCGCAGAAGAGCCAGGGGACGTGCGCGATGCCCTGCCGAGTTGGGTTCAAGCAGGGGACTGCAGCGATGCTGAGCACCCCGAGCATCGCCCTGAGCGTGGCCGCCAGCGTGCGGAGCGTGCCGAGGGCCCAGGGGGGCATACAAGGAGCGCCAATGCGCGGAAGTGGAATCGGCGCCAAACGAACGCTTCACGCTTCCCTTCCGCAAACCGCGCCCGCAGGCTTGTGGCTGTGCAGCGGGTGGTGTTCGGGATGTTCGGCGCGGCGATCGGTCGTAGCATCGGCTTTGCTCGACATGCCCTCGGCCACGTCGCCTGCTTCCACGGCGTCGTCAACTTCGATTGGGCCCGCAGCGTTGCTCGTGAAGCGTGGCGTGTTTCTTAGATTCGGCGTTCGAGCTTCTCCTACGCACACATCAGAGCGACGGCTGAAAACGAGGTCGATTGCGCCGGCATTCGCGCTTAGGGTTCCCGCGTAAGATCGCGTGTAAGTGCCTTCGTTTCCAATGTGGCGTACCGCGCTGGCGGCCCGCGCAAGCCACCGCAATAAGACCCGTTTGTGTTCTTCGCACACATGGGGTCCAAGTGTTGCTTGATTTCAATGCGTTTGCCGCGAAACGGGCCTGGCAGTGGCCCGCGAAGCCGCGCGCGCGCGGCGGCGGTATGGCTAGCTCAGCATTATAAAACACGAGAGTAAGTCGCCATGCTGTCGTCGTAAATCCATGTACGCCCTCTCTTACCGCGCACCACTTAGACTTCAAGCTCAACGCGTGATCTCAGCATGCCCATCGTACACCGTACGTATCCGCATCCCCCGCGCCCACAAGCAAGCGTCGCGTGACGAGTAAACCCTCAGCACGCACTACGATGTCCAATGTAACATATGTTTTGTGAATGCAGCGGATTGCCGAACATACTAGGAGTTTGCGTCTGCTCGCGCGGGCGTAGCTTGATCTTGCGAAAATCAAGATGTCGTCATGCTGGCTCTGGGAAATCCAAGTGCACCCTGAACGCGCACCAGTTGGGTGTCCTACTTCACAAGGGGTGTTCGTATGTCTGCCGTATGCCCCGCCTGCAGATGCGGTTTTGCGCGCGCGGCTCCAGCGTGCGTGCGTTCCGGTGCAGAACTGACAGATTGACAGTGTTGATATGGAAAACGCTAATTTTCACGCATCCCCCAACCTAAATTCGCATGCTTGATCGATCCGCGAAACACATATTTTGCATGTTGGTGAGTTTCGTTTAGTCGCATTCTTAGCCTATCACAGTTTAGACCAATGGCCGCGCGCCCATGGCAACTCTTGAGTGCTGGCGGTGCGCGGTCGTGGGCATTTTCTGCTCCTGAAAGGTAGTTGCCGATATTTGTGCGCCCAGCGCGGGTTGTGGCGCTGACGTGCTCCTGTTGTCGCCAATTGTTAGTAGGCAGATGGTTTGCGGCGGTGGTCGCGGTATAGTATTGCAGGCGCCGATGCGAGTTTTCTAGAGTTGTATGCGCGTCGGTTGCCCTTGTGTCTTAGACATCCCGTGGTGGCGTTGGAACGACTCGCCGACATTTCCAACATGCATCATCACCATCAAGTCACCAACACCATCGTCATCATTGTCACCACGATTACATTACCATCAACTATTACCATCACCATCATCAGCATCAGCATCAGCATCAGCATCAGCATCAGCATTACCATCATCATCGTCATCATCAGCATCACCACCATCATCACGAGTCAGCATCCTGTTTTCAGCATCATCATCAAAAGTAGCAGCATGATCACATCATCATCATCATCATCATAATCATCATTAATCTCGTCATTATCAACGTCATCATCCGCATCATCATCAACATCGTCAACATCAGCAGCATCGTCATCATCATGATCATCATCACCATCATCATCACCATCATCATCATCATCAGCAGCATCATCACCATCATCATCATCATCATTATCATCATTATCATCGTCATCATCATCATCCGCACCAGCATCCAGTCGTCATTGTCGCCGCCGTCGCCGCCGTCGTCGTCGTCGCAGTCGTTGTCGCCGTCGCCATCGATGTCGCGCTGCCCCTCTTCATTTCGGAAGGCCAGGGCCAAACTGGGCCTTTTCGGCTTGCCGTGTCGGCCAAGCCCGCGCGCCGCTTTCGCCTGCGCGCCCGCAAGGCGCGGGCATTGGCTACCCGCGCCGCGGCGATGCGCAGCTCCCGCCCGCCGTGGCGCGGTCTCCGGCTCGGCGCGCCCGGGCCTAGACCGAAAGCCTCGCTTTCCCCCCGCCAGTCGTCCTCGTCGCCGCTGGTGTTGCCGCCGTCGCCGCCGTCTGTCGGGGCACAACAAAGGACCACATTTTTAACCGAGTGGATCTTGCGGGAGGGCTCCTCGGGGAAGAACCCTCTTGACCCCGACATGAACACTTCGGTTATGGTTGTCGATATGACAGTCCTGGGAAGCCACACCGACCACAACCAGCACTAAGCTGGCTTCTGTGCTCTGACGGTTGTTATCATGCTCAGGACATCTCCGAGGGTGTGTCCGCGATGTGATTGTGGTCGCTTGCTGCCCCCGAAGTCGCCGCCGTCGTCGTCGTCGTCGTCGTCGTCGTCGACGCTGCCCGTTTGATCGTCCTCTTGTTGTTGAATATTCTCCGCGCGGAGGCGCGGTTTCCGCATGGACCCAGCCAGCACTCTTTCCTCCCCATCTTCGTCCTTCTGTTCTCCCTCCTGCTCTCCCACATCGCAGATGGCACACATGTTTTTTGCACATTGAATTTCAAGGACTGGCGATTGGATAAGGAGATCCACGCAACGCGACACGATTGTTGGCAGTTCGGCGTTACTGCAAAATTTGTGAGTGCGCGTACTGCCTTGGGTACGCCTATATTTCTGACCAGTCTTTTTTTTCTGAGTCAGATCAATTCTACGTGTTCTACGGGCACGCTGGTTCTACAAACATTCCTCACACATGCGCCCAAGAAAAGGAACATTGGCCGCTGGCCCCTAATGATGATTCGTGCATTCTGTTTCTAGCTTCTCCCCCCATTTCGAATCTGTAATTTTGACCGCTGCCTGGAGAGAGGCGAATCACTTCGATCGTCGATGACCCCAAGCCACATCCTTGGGCGCAAGTGGAAATTACATCGGCAAGCGTGCGGTCACTTGTGCGCCCCGGGTTACCAGATTGGTGCGCTATCGGTGCCTCCGCCCCTGTGAGGTGGGGGAAGGATGGATGGTGGAACTGAGAGGGTGAGGAGGAAGAGCCAGGGATAATGAGGAAGACCGATGGGGAGAACAGGAAAGGGATGATGACCATGAGGTGGAGGAGGAGGAGGAGGAGGAGGAGGAGGAGAAGGTGGAAGACGAGGACACGGAGGAAGACCTGGACCAGAACCAGGAGGAGGAGGAGGAGGAGGAGGAGGAGGGGGAGGAGGAGACGGAGCCGAGGGAAAAGGAATCATAGAAGAAGGCATCCGACCTCGTCAGGAGCGCCGAGGTGAAACCAAGAATTGTGGAGCAATAGCTGGAGCACGAACAGTATACGGAACAAGTGCTTCTCCATTTTCCTCCCCGCCTGGCAAAGGAGAGAGAGAGAGAGAGAAAGAGACAGGGGAAACTGGTTGAGGGGGCGGTGGGACGGAGTCACTAGTTCGACTTGTTTGGAGGGGCAGTAGCACAGGAATTGGCGGCGCGCAGGTCATGGCGGGGTCAGGGGGGGGGCTGGCTCCCAGAAGGCAGGGGGGGGGTCTCTCGGAAGCCCTCCCGCCCTGTGGGGAGGCCTTCTCAGAGGCCTCCGGGACCTCCTAAGAAGCCCCCCCCACCACCTTACGGTAGCTTCGTGTCGCGCCGACGCGGTTGAGACCCAGCCGCCGGCGTTCAAGGTTTAACGTTGCCAGTGGCCCAGAATCGGCCAGTACGGAACGATTTGGCGACTCAGAAGCCGCCGATCGTTGTTGAAGGCTGGACGGTTTTCGCGGTGTCAGAAGCCAACGCCGAGGTCGTCACGACACGAACCCGACGTACGTTCGGCGGCGGGCCCGGGAGCACAGTGAGAAGGGGCGGGGGCCTTCTTGGAAAGCTCGGAAGCCCGAGCCTTCCGCGAAGACGCAGAACATTTTTCAGAAGGCTGCAGGGCTTCTGAGAAGCCCCGCAGCCTTCTGAGAAGGCCTGCTCCTTTTCAGTTCCCCCCCAGGCACGCCTCCGATACAAGGCCGCACCCCCCCCTAAATGTGTCTCACGCGCCGCCCGAAGGAAAAGACTCACCTCTTGAGATGGCCTGCCCCCCTCCCGAGGCGAGGCTCGGGGCCCCCGTCGAGGTAGCCGCGGCGGCCGCGCCGCCGCCGCCGCCCGTGAGCGGGAGTCAGAAGCTCCGCGGCGCGGGCGCGGGCCGGCCGGCAGTAAAGGGCGCCGCGTTCTGAGAAAAGATCAAACGAGATCACACGAGATGTTTTTGCCTCCCGATCCGGGTCCCTCCAGAACTACTGGAGAGCGGCAGTCAGGGCGCTGTGCCAACTGCTGGGCCTCGGGCGCCTTGCCTGTCGGGCATTGCGTAGTCCGCGTGTAGCAGAAAGCGGCATAAGCATCATTGCTCTAAGGTCCGAACGGATTACTTGCATCTGCGCTGCACCCCCTGGCGGCGCCCGGCGCCGCCCTGGCGCGCTCCGCGCGCCAGAGAAGGGGGTCCAGCGCTAATCCACGAAAGGTTGCGGATTTCGGAAAAATCATGTTTATGCAGTTGTTGCTCCTCTCCTGTCATGAGGGACGCGATCGATGGGGGGTTGAAGGGATGTTCATTATTTGTGCTTTAGCAAGGAAAGTATACGCTTCTCCTCCACATCGGTCTCCCCTCATTGAGCAACGCCCGAGCTTGTCCGAGCCTTGCTGGGGGGGGAGGGGGGGGGGCCTCAATGGCGCCGAGCACTCGCTGGAAGCCGCCTGCTCGCTGGAAGTCACCAGGTCACCAGGATAACCTCGATCTGCTCCTCGTCTTCTCTAGCCTCCTTTGTCCTGTTATCCGCCCCCCTCCGTCCGCCCACTTCCGAGTCCTCCTCCAGGGGAGGGGGAGGCTGACGACGACGACGAACGACGACGACGACGACGACAATAGCGACGGGAGGCAGGAGGAGGACCTCCTTCTCCTGCCGCTGCTCCTGCCCGTGCTCCTCCTCCTCCTCCTCCCCCTCCTCCTCCTCCTCCTCCTCCTCCTCCTCCTCCTCCTCCTCCTCCTCCTCCTCCCTCTCTTCTTCTATTCGTCGTCGTCATCTTCTCCCATCTTCTCCCCGTTCTGCCCCGCCCAGCCATTCGCCACCCCCATCCTCGCATCACTTTTTGCACTTCAGCCTCACATGTAAGAATCGCTCGAGGTTTTGACCCAGTGGCCGCCTCGTGGTTGATGCGTGCGCTGGATGGCATTGCCGGACTTTCGCCTGGTGGCCGTACTTGCCCGTTTCGTACCCGCAACGTGTTCTGGCTGGCATTCTTTGATTCCCAGACATATTTTTATGAGACCAGCGGCTTTCTCCAGGAGAGTTTTAGAGACAAGTGAAGAAAACAACGTCAACACAGCCATTGGGCAGCAGCGCTCAAGAGTTTCAAACACATGTCGCGGCGCGACTGTCGCGCACAATAACAAAAAAAACGCTGGATACTCCAACATATTGGAGAGGCCTGACGGCCTGTGCCGCCGACCCTGATCGGAAGGGCTAAGAGTGGGGGGAGGAAGCGGAGGATGATGAGGAGGAGGAGGCGGAGGAGGAGGAGGAGGAGAAGGAGGAGGAGCAGGAGGAGGAGGAGGAGGAGGAGGAGAAGGAGGAGGAGGAGGAGGAGGAGGAAGAGGAGGAGGAGGAGGAGGAGGAGGAAGTGCATCCTTTGTGTGCCCGCTCGAAGAAAGTGCGCCCCGGGAGTGTGATATTCTGACTTGGGACGTGCTCCCGGAAAAGGAAGAAGTGCATCTCGGGCGTGCCCGCTCGAGGAGAATGCGCCCTAGGGGGGTGGTATTTTGACTCGGGGCCCGCTCCCGGGACGCCTCTGCGGGAGGAGGAGGAGGAGGAGGAGGAGGAGGAGGAGGAGGAGGAAAAGGAAAAGGAGGAGGAAAAGGAGGAGAGGAGCAGGAGGAGGAGAAGGAGGAGGAGGAGGAGGAGGAGGAGGAGGAGGAGGAAAAGGAAAAGGAGGAGGAGGAGGACCAGGAGGAGGAGGAGGAAATGCATCCCGTGCGTGCCCGCTCGAGGAAAGTGCGCCCCGGCGGGCGTCGTATCTGCCCCAGCCCCTCCCCCCCCTTCCCCCCCCCGTTGCGGGGAAGGGATCAAAGGGAAGGGGCTCCCCTTCGACTCCATTACGACGTCGTTCAATTTCGCTTTGGATAGCGCGCTTGAGGAGGAGAGCCCTGGGAGGGGGAGGACGGAGACGACGGAGACGACGAGTCGAACGGAGAAGCCCTTCGCACACGCCGACAGGGTCGGCGGATTTCAACGCTGTCAGACCGCGAGCGCTACGGGGGCCCTCCCCCCGCACGGAAACGGGACGCTGGAGGCGGCATGCCTCTGCCGCGAGCCGCTCAGCCAGCGCGCGGCAAGCCGACGCGCAGGCACCGAGCGTGAACACCTGCGCGAGGGGGACTAGCCACAAACCCGCGCTGGCGCTTGAACCGCAGGCGAAACCCGTTTGAACCAAACGGCATTGAGCCAACATGGCCACGGATGTAAAGGCAGAAGGAGAGGAAGGAGGAAGGAGGAGGGGCAGGAGGAGGAGGGGCAAGGGGGAGGGGGAGGATGAAAGGGGGGAGGGACGGGAGGATATAGAAGGACGATGGGGAAGGATTACTGCTACTAACTCCTCTGGGGCGGATGCTCGATGATCTGAAACTACCCTAGGACCTAGGAGCGGCCTGTAGCGTCCATGTTGGCCCTCCCGCCGGCCCATAGGTTCCGAAGGCTTCGGGGGGAAAGGGGATAATTCAACAAGCAAGAAGCCAGCAGAGGCACACGCAGAGCGAGGAGCCAGCGAGGAGCCAGCGAGAGGGGAAGAGCCCAAGAACTGGGGCAGGCACGACAGCAGCAAGGGGGACGTGTGCCACCCAACTGCTGACGCACCCTTGTGCTGTTTCTCGGGGTGGGGGACGGGTGCGGGGGCGGGGGGGGTGGGGGGCAAGGGGGGTGCTGGTGTTTTCGCTAGTGCTGCTGCTGCCGCTGCCGCTGGCGTCGCTGGCGCTGATGTTCCCTCGGGGTCCTCTTGGGGGCCTCGTTTTGGGAAGGTCTCGGGGCCCTCTTGGGGGTCACTTTTGGGCGAGGACGCCGTTCGGGCCCAAGGTCGTTCGGGGCGGGTCTGCTGGGGTCTTTTCGGGGGGTCTGTCGGAGAGGGGGGCGGATACGGCTAGGAAGGATCGCGCGCGTCACGCCCTGGCGGCCCCCGTTCGCGAACTGCGAGCCCGCTGGCTTTCCGCGCTAAGCCGCGCGTTCGAGGCCGACCCTGAAGCGGGAGATGGAGGAGGGGGAGGAGGTGGATGACGACTATGCACAGATGGCACCGCGAGAGGATAAGACACGCCATGACAAGACAAACTATCCGACGCAGCTGGCTACATACAAATATGTGGACATCTGAGCTGGCTCATTCTCACTGGGCTCCCCATCTCAATGCGACTAAGGTATTATCGCTTAGTGGGTGGCTACACGATCCAGGCCTGGTTTCGCCAGCTCGCGCATTTCAGCATCATCACAGAAACCACGCATTTCGCATAGCCACGAAGTACACCTACGCTGCAACCCATCTTATGCGCCTCATGTGCCCACCCCCCAGCAAGATGGAACCGTCCTTTCCAGGGGAATGGCCGAAACGTGATGGGCGGGGCTCGGAGAGGTGCGAGCACGGAATCTGTCAGGAGTCAGGGCCGGGAGCAGCCGCCCTCGGGGCCGAATGTCGACGAGGCGGAGGGGGGCTCGGAAGTGGGGGCGCGGAATGCGGGCGAGGGGGGGAAGGGAACGTTGGGCGGGCCGAAGGCGGCCATCGGACCCCTCTCCCTAACTGACTTCTCGCCCCCCTTCGCCCTCCGACTCCCCCCCCTCGCCCTCGCCTGCCTCTCTGTCTTCTTGGGGCGCAGCCTGCCAGCAAGGGTTGCTTCTCGGACTGAGCGCGGCCCGCCAGTCCGACGCCGCGCGCGTCGCCTCGGCGCAAGCACCTGCCTCGTGCGAGGCTTGCGTTTGGCAGTGAGCCGAACGTTGAAAGAGAGCTCCGTTTCGATTTGGCCCCTGCGTCAGACATCGTGCCTCGTTTAAGTTGGCGTTCTCGTGGGGCCGATCGGTCTCGTGCTCGCAGGGGCCATGCGCTATTGGATTTGAATGTTGAGTTGCATGGCTTGGCTCACGCGGATGACCAGCGCGGGCGGTGGCCTATCTCGGTGGGCCGTGTTGTTTTTTTTTGTTTCTCCAGCAAGCCCGTCATTTTCACTGCGGGGGCGCGCAAACTCTGTTTGCTCTCGGTTTTCTTGAAGGCTGGAAAAAAGGAGGCATGTCACCACGGCGAGCCAACCACCCTGGGGCTTATCGGCCGCGACCCTGTAGTCGCCGCTCTCGGGGTCGATGGGCACCCCGCGCGCGGGCGCCTGGTTCTTCCACGAAGCCACAGACTGCGCCCAGGTTGGGGGGCTGAAGGTTGGATGGGGGCGCGCTGGGAAAAGCTTTGCTTGTTCAGACGAACCAAACAGGCCCTCCCCCCCCCCCCCCCCCCCCTCGCCCACCGCGCCTTTCCGCCTCCTGCCCCCTGCCCTCGTTGGCCCTTCTTCCTGCTCCACCTCCGCCGCCCCGCCCCCCCCCCTCCTTATCTTCTCCTCCGCCCCTCCCCTTCGACGGCGCCGATGCCTGGTCGGCTTGTCCAAGTCCTTATTTAGGGCAACCGTTGCCTTGCCGTTCTCTTTGGACAGGATGCTTGCGTCCGCGCGCTCGGAGAGCTTCCCCCGAGCGCCGTGGCCCTCTTCTGCGAGCCCGTTCAACCGCGACTTGCCGCCGGCAGCTCCGCGCAGGTAGAGGTCGATATTCGCCGCGATCTTCTGGGCGTCGCCCGCCGCGGTTCCGACTGCAAGGGCGCCGAGCATTTTGCAGAGCGCGGCCGCGCGCCCCTTCGCGGCAGTCGCCCGCTCGCTCACGCAGGCGCGCAGCTCGACGTCGCAGCCCCCCGCGTCGCCGCTGGGCGCGATCAGCCTCTCCGCCAGGTGGCGCGCGAGGGCAGCCTCGGGTCCCCCAAGTCGACCCGGCCCCTCAGCAGGCGCCCGGCCTCGTCGAAGAGCTTGGCCTTGACCGACTTCACCGCTGGCCCCAACGACCCATTGGCCCCTGCGGCCTCCAGGCGCGCCCGCCGCGGAGCGACCATCGAATCCGACAGGGAGTCGCGAAGCCCGTGCGCTGCCGGGGCAGCAGCGGCAGCCGCGCCCCCCGCCGCCTCAATTGCCGCCTCGGCCAGCGCGAGGGAGCAGTCGCCGAGGAGCTAGACCATATCTTCGCCCAGCTCGGCGTGGGTGGCCCTCTCCAAAAATAGGCAGGTCCGCGTGAATGAGCTCCCCAGTCATCTTGTCGACAGGGGTCGCTTCGGCCATCGCCTCCACCTGGGCCTCGATGGCGTCGCGGGCCATCGACGCGTCGGTCTCGCCCGTGAAAGTTTTCATTTGCGCGAGGTCGAGGTCGCGCGGCGCGATGTCGACTGCCTTGCCCAGCAACTGGCCGAAGACC